GATGCAATCACTTTAAGATATATAATTAGTTTGGCAGTCCATAGAAAACTTGAAATGCGTTTAATGGATGTTGTTACGGCATATTTATATGGTTCTTTAGATACTGAGATTTATATGAAAATCCCTGAAGGATTTAAATTGCCAGAGGCATGTAAGAATTCTCGAGAAAATTATGCAATTCGTTTGCATAAATCCTTATATGGATTAAAACAATCTGGAAGAATGTGGTATAACCGACTTAGTGAATATTTGTTGAGAGAAGGTTATAAAAATGATCCAATTTGCCCATGTGTTTTTATAAAAAGAAATGGATCAGAGTTTGTTATAATTGCTGTCTATGTGGATGATTTAAATATAATTGGAACTCCTGAAGAGCTTCAAAAAGCAGTTGATTGTTTAAAGAAAGAATTTGAAATGAAAGATCTTGGAAGAACAAAGTTTTGCCTTGGCTTGCAAATTGAGCACTTGGCAAATGGAATTTTCCTCCATCAATCAACTTATATTGAAAAAGTATTAAAGCGATTTTACATGGATAAGGCACATCCGTTATCTACTCCTATGGTTGTAAGATCACTGGATAAGGATAAAGATCCTTTTCGTCCTCAAGAAGATGAGGAAGAACTTCTTGGTCCTGAAGTACCATATCTCAGTGCCATAGGTGCATTAATGTATCTTGCTAATTCAACACGACCTGATATTGCATTTGCTGTTAGTTTATTGGCAAGATTTAGTTCTTTCCCAACAAGAAGGCATTGGAATGGAATTAAGCATATATTTCGATATCTTCGAGGGACAATTGATATGGGATTATTTTACTCTAATGAATCAGAATCACAATTAATTGGCTATGCAGATGCAGGATTTCTATCAGATCCACATAAAGGCAAGTCTCAAACAGGATATTTATTTATTTGTGGAGGTACAGCGATCTCATGGCGTTCAACAAAACAAACTTTATCAGCTACCTCATCAAATCATGCGGAAATAATTGCAATTCATGAGGCAAGTCGAGAATGCGTTTGGCTGAGGTCAGTGACTCAACATATTCAAAAAATGTGTGGTTTTTCCCTTGAACAGAAGATTCCAACAGTATTATATGAAGACAATACAGCATGCATAGCTCAATTAAATGGAGGATATATCAAAGGAGACAGAACAAAACATATTTCTCCAAAGTTCTTTTTCACTCATGATCTTTTGAAAAGTGGTGATATAGATGTTCAACAAATTCGCTCATGTGACAACCTTGCTGATTTGTTTACCAAGACACTGCCGACTAGAACATTAGAGAAGTTAGTGTATGGTATTGGAATGCGCAGGCTTAAAGACTTAAAATGATGTTATCATTAGGGGGAGTAAATATTGTGTACTCTTTTCCTTCACTGGGTTTTTGTCCCAATGGGTTTTTCCTAGTAAGGTTTTAATGAGGCACAATACTCATTATGGACATCCAAGGGGGAGTGTTATGAATATTGCATGAGTGGATGTCCATAACCCCTAACCCTTAGAATTCTCATAGGATTCCTCACCTTCAAGTGTCATAAACTACATAACCTCCCTAATGAATGTTTTTGGGAGGAGTTTCTTATTGTTAATGCTATTATGATGTTCTTTATTCCTTTGTAACCTTAGTATAGGACTTCAATGCTTGGAGGCCTATAAATAGAGGGCATACATGAGGCATTTGGACCTTGAACCAAAGTGAATGAGAAAAGGCCATTGTCTTCTCTATCTCTTGCTTTCTTTTCTACTCTTCATTCTCCTTATTTCTTGTAGTTTTACAACATAATTCATTAAAAACTACCCAAAAGTATGTGGCTTTGCTGGCAAGATAGGTGTTTAAGCTTGACAGCAATGCATGTTCGAATCCTCTCTAACTTTTAGCTTATAAAATGTTAAAGCATCATATAATAAATAATTCATTAAAAACTACCCAAAAGTATGTGGCTTTGCTGGCAAGAGAGGTGTTCAAGCTTGATAGCAATGCATGTTCGAATCCTCTCTAACAATGTTATGCATTTATTTTTTTGAAAATTGACACATTGAAAAAAAAAATGTCCCTCTTTGTATTGTATTATTTTCTTCAATTATATTATTTCTTAGCCCTCTCATATAGATTTTCATTGTCAAAGTGATTATTATGTTATTTAAATATATCCACACTAATTTAATTACAATCATCTCTCCCTCATAAACTTAACTATATTATGCCTTTCAGTTATAATACCTTTCTCTCTGACACACACACATACTCTATCTCTTTTTCAATTATATTACCTCTACCTTACACCCTCACTACTTTCACCTCTTTCCTCACCTCATAAACATGCATATTCCACTCTCATGCATGCTTCCGCTTCATTTTTCCATATACCATATCTTTTTAATTCTATCTCTCACACATATAATTATAATATATCTATTTTATACATACTACACACTCCCTTCCTCTCCCTTTCTCTCTCAAACACCACATTAACTTGCACTAAGTCTCTCTCTCCAACGCAATAATACATGAAAAAGTATTAGTCATCAAAGGTAGTTACATTAGTGACAAATTTATAATATAAATGGATCATAATTTTTAAAATATATATAAACAAAAAACTTTCAACACCGACAAAAAGTCGTCATTGAAACATACCTTTGGCGGCGACAAAGAAAAGTCACCACTCAAAGTATCAAATTTTTAGCAGCGATAGGGTAAAGTCACCACAGGAGGTGACAACTTTCAACGACAACAAATGTTGTTGCCACCAAAGGTTGAAACATTCGGCAGCAACATTTTAATGTCACCACCATTATATACATGTCACCACTAAAAGTCTAACATTCGGCAGTGACTTTCTTTGTCACCATTGAAAGTTATACTTTCAATGATGAATTTTTTTGTCACTGCTGAAAATCATCACTGAAAGTATTTTTTTTTGGTAGTGCATGTTTTATACTATATATATTATAAATAGATGAAGTGTATTTTAGAGATCTAAATCCAAGCAAACCACCAATGCATAACTACTTAACAACCTCATGAGTGCGAAAAGATCTCCTTTATAAGAAGACCCTTTCAAGGGGGGATTGGGAGATAATCTTAATAAGAGGGAGATTTATTCTTGAGTTTTTGAGTAAACATAAAGTTTATGACTAAAACGTGATTATGATAAAAACTAACGGATTACCAAACACATTAAAGAATAAAGTGATAAGAGTTCCTTTTGTTTTTTGTGCCTTATATTGCATCAGTCCTTAATATAAAATTTAGTTGATTAATTTGGAGAGATCTAGCAAGTTACTAAATTACTTAATTATAGCATATATTATATGATATTTCTAAAATACTTATTTGTATTATTAGATTATATATTTATTTATAAATGAGACAAAGTAGTTAGGAGAAAAACGATAGATAGAAATATATACTTTAAAGTAATTTAGTAACTTTTTAAAATATTTCTAAATTAGTTAACTGTGTCTTGTATTAAAGACTACATGTAATATTATATTTCAACCATATTTTAACCTATTACTACTGTATCAGTTTTAAGCTTCATTGTTGTTGTGTCAAGAAATCAGTCATATGTGGAGCTGTGGGAGGCTGGACACAGGTGTTGGTGTTTATAAACTGAACCTGCATGTCTTTCTCAGACGCTGTGTTTTTAAGCTCACATATATTCATGAACTGAGCCCATTTTACTTTCCAAGAAGAGCTCATTTTCTTTCTCTGGAATTTGAATTGTAATCACCAAAAATAAAGTAATATACTGTTTACTACCTGCTGCACATTTTGCTTTGGAAGTTGGAACCATGAACACCATTCTTGGCGTATTTGCATGCCTCTTTGTTCGCTTCTGTATATTTATGCGTTCAAAAACCACTGCACAAATTGCAGCAGTCACTAAAAGCATCATATATATAGGACAAGACCTACGTTACCTCAACCTTTAAACAATGCCTGTATTCTGCTGCATCTATGCCACTTTTTTACTAGCAGAAAAATAATACAGTGATAAAACTAAACTATAGTTTAGAGAATAGATTTTATGAAGAATAGATTTTGTGAAAAAAGTGATTTTGATAAAGTAAGAGTGTTTGGATAGTTGTTCTCAGAAACACTTTTTATATGTACAAACTACTAAAAAAAAGCATAAGTTAATATGTTAATTATATAAAAAATAGATTTTATACTATATTTTAATTTGAAAAAATAAAATTGTTAGTAATATATTTTTTACCAACGTAATTAATAATATATAAGATAATGTAATTAATAAATAATTAATATATGTATATATATTTATAAAATATAAGATTAAATATGTTTATAAAAAAATAATTGAGGGGTGTTAAAGTCATATTATCATTGAGATCTATTCTGACAGGCACAATCATACTCTCCAATTTGAGCTAGAAGTATAATGGATTCACTTTTTCTGAAACCATAGTTTTGAGTCCAAAACCATGGTTTGTTAATTCACCTCCCTGTTTAGCAAATCTAGGACCCAAACCATAGTTTTCTATTTTACCCAAACAGGCCCTAAGTTTGCCATGGTTTTGATGGGAAAACCATGGTTTCATGACAAAATCATGGTTTCAGAAAATTATGAGGTGTATAGATATTTTTTGGATCAAACTTTGGTTTAGGTTCTAAAGTGTTTTTTCTAAGTTTGCCAAACACCCCATCCTTTCCTTTTAATTTAGATAAATTATTTGAAAAATCATAAAGAAGTCTGAAATAAAATAAAAAAGAAAGAAAGAAAGAAAGAAAAAGTTTGCGTGGCATTGTCAGAGATTTTTTTTTTTTTAAACTTCTCTCTCTCTTATTATTTTCTGTTCTCATTGAACCAGGGGAAAACGTGGTAACGGCTTTGTCAGACATTGTTTGAAACTATAGACAAGTGATTAAAGAGGCTTACATAAACTGATAAACAGAGACGTGAGGGCTATACATTCATAGATAACAAGACCGCAAAAAGAAAGAAAGGAAGAGGAAGAGGGAGAGTATGGAGATGTGGGTGATAGTTGTGGGGTTATGTGTTGGAGTTTTGGGGTTAAGATGGATTCTGAGAAATGTGAATGGCTGGTTGTACGAGTCAAAGCATCGTCATCTTCGCTTGCCTCCTGGACATTTTGGCTGGCCCTTCCTTGGTAACATGTTGGCCTTCCTCGCTGCCTTCAAATCCACCAACCCTGATTCCTTTGTTCATTCTCTCGTCTCCAGGTTCTCTCTCTCTCTCTCTCTCTCTCTCTCACACACACACAAAGAACAAATACACACTATCTCTCAGTACTCATCGAAGTGATGAGTATTATGATGCTCATCATTGTAGTAAAATCTACACCATTTAAATATGGTTTTAATGGTCTAGATCTAAAATTTTGAACTGATAATTTTTTAAATGAAGAATTATTTTTTGAAAAACCTACAGTCAAGAGATTACATTTATTTTGGATTATGTACCTATTAAAGAAAACATTTTTCACAAAACAAAAATTTAAAAATTTAAATCTTAGTTGTTTAGATTAAATTGTTTCCCTATCTCTCTTGCTTGAACACTCACTATTGAAAATGCCAATAATGAGTGTCTAGTTTAGCTGGTAAGAGGACTATGCTAGGTTAATTAGAGATCTCGTATTCAAATCTTGGATATGCAGCTGCCTTAAATACTTTTCACGGACCGGGGGTATCAGCTGCCCCCTTAGTTGTGCCCTAGCTGCATGCCCCTCATTTTTGTTTCCAAAACTATTTTTTAGCTTTTTATAATTAAATTCTACATAAAATGAGCGACATTTTGATATCTTATAAAAAACATAGTTCAGTTTTCAATTTTTTTCCTCAATTTTTTAAAGATTTAATACTCTAAGTTCAGCCAAGCTACGTTTTGACCAAAAGCAATGAGTTTCTGAACATACACAGAGCAAGTTTTTATGATTAAGATTTGGTGTTAGTTAATTAATTACTTTACCATTACTTACTTCTACAAGATCTTGAAAATATATCACAAGCTATATATGCCTTGTCGGCGTGGAATGAACTTTACAGAGGGTATATTTAACAAGTGAATCGATAATACTCCTCCGGTCCTTAATATAAGACCCATTTAACTAATTTGATTAGATTAAGGAAGTTAGGTAAGTTAGTTAATTATAAGAAATGTGATACGTTTTTCCTAAAACACCATAATCATCTTTTTTAATCCCAATCTCTCTCTTCTACTTGATTATGATTGAGGAAGTATCCATAAGGGTAATTTAGAGAAAATTGATAAATATGATAAATGGGTCTTATATTTAGGACCAAAACCAACTTAACAATTGGGTCCTATATTAAGGACTGGAGGAGTAGAAAGTATTTTAAGAAAATGGATCATATACATATACATGCGCGCGCGCGCACATATATATATTAAATCAGCAATACTGTATCATATTGCAGGTATGGAAATACGGGTATATACAAGGCCATGATGTTTGGGGAACCAAGTGTAATTGTGACAACACCGGAAGGATGCCGGCGAGTGCTAACGGACGACGAGAAATTCACAACCGGTTGGCCTTATTCCACCGTAGAGCTCATGGGGAGGAAGTCCTTCATCATCATGCCTTATGAAGAACACAAGCGTCTCCGGCGCCTCACGTCGGCTTCCGTTAACGGCTTGGAAGCTCTGAGCTTGTACTTGACCTACATTGAAGAGAATGTGATGAGCTCATTGGAGAAATGGACAACTATGGGAGAAATTGAGTTTCTTACTCAGATTCGTAAGCTTACTTTTAGAATTATCACTCATATTTTCCTTGGCGCAGCAAGTAATTCTGTTGTGGAAGCTTTAGAGAAAGAGTACACAACGCTTAATTATGGAGTTAGAGCCATGGCTATCAACATTCCTGGATTTGCATATCATTCAGCCCTCAAGGTATGAGAGAGAGCGTGTAATTAGGTTTGCGTTCTTTTTATCCTTCTCTTTTACCCCTCCTGTTTTATTTATAAGCTTTAAATTTGAACATAGATCAATTTTATAAATTTGAATTTGGATTTGTCCTTATATTTAATACTTTTTTTAAATTTTGCTATTAATTATTTATTCCCTCGCTCTAGCCAAACTCCTTCTCATTATGTTTCTTCATACATTCTCTTTTGTCTTTGTTCTCATTTATCATGAAAGCATATTTTAAAATAAAAACAGATTATTTCATATCTATTTATTACTTTTAACTGATTTTAGCTAATTTTTTGTTATTTGAAACTCATAATAAGGATTGGAGAAAATATAATAGTGGTAATTAAATTTATTAAATTGATGCTTTTATTTGTTAAAATAAAAAAAAAATTCCTTCATGAATTGTCTCTCATTAAATAAAGTATGAGACAACAAAAAAACTTTTAAGGGAAAATCTTAAAGACAATTATGTTTTGCAACAAATATAATTATTTTAACTAGAATTAATTTTATTGACCTATATGAAACTGGAATAGTAGGGAGTATATATAATTTGAGTGATATATATATATATATATATATTAACTTAGCCTATATTGTGAATTAATTTTTGAATTTTCAGGCCAGGAAAAAACTAGTGAGTGTATTTCAAGCTGTGGTGGATGAGAGACGAAAGCAAGAAAAGGAAGAGGGATTTAGAAAAACAAAAGACATGATGGATGCTCTGATGAATGTGGAAGATGAAAATAATGGAGGAAAACTGAGTGATGAGGAAATAATTGACATTATGTTGATGTACTTGAATGCTGGCCATGAATCATCAGGACATGTCACCATGTGGGCCACAATTTTCTTGCAAAATCATCCTAAATATTTTCAAATGGCTAAGGTATGTGTCATCAACCATCAACTTACTTCCTTATTCAAGCTTCAACTAAATTAATACATCATTATTAAATATATGTGCGTTGAAATGTACCAAAGAAAAGTTAATATGAAAGTGAGCATAATTTCACCTCATTTTTAATTAAATTTTTGCAGTTTTTTTCTTTTTACTGGATCATTATAGTTTCCTCAATCATTGATATTGATCTCTGTACTTATAATAATTTTTAATTTGTAAGGAAAACAATATCAGTAACTGATGACGCGCCTCTGATTCAACATAAAGATGAATTAATTTTGCTGCATATATAGATCTAAATAAAATTAAACCATATGACAGATTATATAGATGTAAGAATAAGACTACTATAAGTATAATAATTTCTTATTTAAATGTTGATAATAAATAAATTGTACTCCACCATTTTACTTTTAAAAACGCTCCTTTTTTGTATTTTTGTGAAAACTTGCATGTTATCTAGCCCTCATCCACATCAACCCCTAGTTAATGCTGCATATATATATAATTATATGTATATATAAATAAATCATCTCTAAGTGAAATTGGGAAAATGTTGAGCAGGCTGAACACGAAGAAATAGTAAAGAAAAGGCCTCCTACACAGACGAGATTGACCATGAAAGAAGTCCGACAGATGGATTTTACTTCTAAGGTACGTGCACCCGTGCGTGTCCGCTGATGATGATCTCTATATTTCACATCCAGTCTTTAATATAAGAATTAAATAATTAATTTGTAGATATTAAAAAATTAATTAAGCAAGTTATTTATAATAAATGGACGTTGTCTTTTTTAAAATACTCTCATCAATCATGAGCATTGTTGTCAAAGTTATGAGTTGACTCTCCGAGTTTAATGTTTTTATGTTTTTAGCAAATAAAATCACGTCTATTCACTCTTAAACTCATGATAATTGTAAACTCAGTTAAAATTACAAGTTCATTTACCAAGTTTACTATTTTTACGTTTTAAGCTTACAAAATCATATCAACTCGCACTTAAACTCGTGCTAAATTTTTGGACTTGATTATGTTTAGTGACTTTATATATGAATTTTATAGAAATTTCTTTGTTGAATGTGATAAATTATGATCATTGCTGGATATAATTTTAATTATTTAAATTTAAAATATATTTAAACGAAATTGTTTTCATTTTTTTATATATTAATTATTTGATTATGTACTTTTAGTACCAGTTTATTAATAAAAATAAACTATTACAAGTTTATGATTCAAGTTTATGATCCGAATTTATTTCATTCTCACGAGTTCGTTTAAACTCGTGAGTTTGACAACCTTAATCATGAGCATTGAAACTACTTCTTGATGAAGGTTCTTTAACAAGCACATGCAATTACAAAGGGATTAATTTGAGGCAAAATAGATAAATATTGAAGACAAAATGGGTTAGAATCTTATATATAGGATTAAATTACATTTTTAACTAGTTATTATATTAAGAATCAAGTGAGAGAGTACTACTTTCTATTCTTAATATAAGAGCTAGTTAACTAATTTGATTAGATTAAAAAAATTAGCTAAAGTAGTTATTTGTAATACATATGTATTGTTTTTTTTAAAATATCTTTAATAATCATGTGTGCTAGTTAGAACTATATTTGATGAAACTTTTAACATGTATAATTACTGTAATAACTATCTTTAAAAAAATAGATAAATATAAGAAACAAAATAGATTAAGGTCTTATATTTAAAACTAAATTAAATATCAAGTTAGCTCTTATAGGATTATTCAATCATAAAACTCCTAATAAATAAAATCATCTGCTTGTGTTTTCTCTCTCTAGGTCATTGATGAAACAATGCGTTTGGTTACATTCTCTCTCATGGTCTTTCGAGAAGCAAAATGCGACGTCACTTTCAATGGTGAGTGTTAGTGTGTTACTACTTGCCATATGTTCAGTCCATTGTTTTTTATTGGAAGAAATAATTTTTGGATATGACTTACTGTTATTTATAAAAAGATACTCCTTCTAATTTATAATATAGGTTATTTTAACTAATTTATCAGAATCAATAAATAATATGATGACAAAAAAAAAAAAAGAAATCAGGGGATGATAGTTAATTCATTGCATCTGTCTCAAATCAAAAATTTTCTCCAAATTTATCCATACTAAATGAGGTTATGTAAGAGAGAAAAATATAAAAAGTCATATTTAAACATTAATTGTGAGGACATAATTGACGAATAAATATTAATTACTCCTCAAGCGAGAGGAAATACTTAAAGGTTGCTTGTCTCCATTTTTTTTTTTTGGGTTAATTTTCCTTTTTTCCCTTATTTAATTACTCTTGTTAATATTATTGCATTTATCACAAGCTAAATTGTTTACATGATAATTTTTTCTTACACTCTCTCTCCTCATAAGTAAAGATATTTTTGGAAAATTTTTTTATATGTTTATTGTCTCTAACCAATTTTAATCATCCTGATTCAATTAATTGTTTCTTATAAAAAGATACGGAAGGAGCGACCGAGTGAGTATATCATTAGCTATCATTTTCTCTTTTAAGTCACTACAAAAAAACAGACTTTAGGCGACGACTTTCGGCGGCGACAAAAAAGTCGCCGCTGAAAGTCCACTTTCCGCGGCGACACCAAAAAGTCGCCGCTGAAACTAAGACTTTCAGCGGCGACAAAAGTGTCGCCGCTGAAAGTGGACCTTCAGCGGCGACAAAAGTGTCGCCGCTGAAAGTGGACCTTCAGCGGCGACAAAAGTGTCGCCGCTGAAAGTGGACCTTCAGCGGCGACTTTTTTTGTCGCCGCCAAAAGTGGACTTTCAGCGGCAACATTTTTAGTCGCCGCTGAAAGTTCGCCATTGAAACCAAGACTTTCAGCGGCGACAAAAGTGTCGCCGCTGAAAGTGGACCTTCAGCGGCGACTTTTTTTGTCGCCGCCGAAAGTGGACCTTCAGCGGCGACTTTTTTAGTCGCCGCTGAAAGTTCGCCATTGAAACCAAGACTTTCCGCGGCGACTTTTTTTGTCGCCGCCGAAAGGGGACCTTCAGCGGCGACTTTTTTTGTCGCCGCCGAAAGTGGACCTTCAGCGGCGACTTTTTTAGTCGCTGCTGAAAGTTCGCCATTGAAACCAAGACTTTCAGCGGCGACTTTTTTTGTCGCCGCCGAAAGTGGACTTTCAGCGGCGACTTTTTTAGTCGCCGCTGAAAGTGGACCTTCAGCGGCGACTTTTTTAGTCGCCGCTGAAAGTTCGCCATTGAAACCAAGACTTTCAGCGGCGACTTTTTTTGTCGCCGCCGAAAGTGGACTTTCAGCGGCGACTTTTTTAGTCGCCGCTGAAAGTGGACCTTCAGCGGCGACTTTTTTTGTCGCCGCTGAAAGTATAATATAATAATATATATTTTATTTTACAATATTAATAAACAAATTCAATCTGGCTCAGCGGCAAGAAGGTTGGACACGAAAGGAGGCGGTCACGAGTTCGAACCTGGAAGAAGACACATTTAAGGTGAAAATATTTGGACGATGACGTGGCGAGGAGGAGTGATGTGGCAATGACGTGGAGATGGCTAGTGATGATGTGGCGGTCGGCAGTGATGATGTGGCCACCGATGGCGATGACGTGGAGGTCGACGGTGATGACGTGGCGGCCGGAGATGATGACGTGGCACCGACGGCGATGACGTGGCATTGGTAAAGCCAATTCTTCTTAGGCATTACTTTCAGCGGCGACAAAAAAGTCGCCGCAGAAAACACTTTCGGCGGCGACATTTGTCGCCGCCAAAAAGTCTTTCAGCGGCGACAAGAGTGTCGCCGCCGAAAGTGTTTTCTGCGGCAACTTTTTTGTCGCCGCTGAAAATCTTTTTGGCGGCGACAAATGTCGCCGCCGAAACTTCTAAAAGTCGCCGCTGAAAGTATCTTTTAGCGGCGACTTTTTTAGTCGCCACTGAAAGTTTTCAGCCACAGCTGCTACGGCAACGACTTTTCAGCGGCGACTTGTCGCCGCAAAAAACTTTCGGCGGCGACTTTTGTACTTTCAGCGGCGACTTTTGTCGCCGCTGAAAGTCAATTTTTTTGTAGTGAGTGCATGCATGATTGTTTTTCTAACGATGATATTCTTCATGAAATATTTGTGTTGGAAATTTCTGAAGCACCACACACACATCTGTTTGTTTGTGTGTGTGTAAAGAGTGAAGTGTATAACAATATGGTTTCATTAATTGGTCGGCGTAGGTTACACTATTCCTAAAGGTTGGAAAGTTCTCACCTGGTTCAGGAGTATACATTATGATCCTGAAATATACCCTAATCCAAGGGAATTTAATCCTCTTCGATGGAATGTAAGTTTCATATATAACTCCTCATTCATGTTCTTTCTGCATATATGATAATAATTAATAATAATGTACATTGTGTTAGCAATCTTCACATTAGAAAATAACCAAAATATATTCTCACTCTTTCACCAAAAAAGAAAATAATCACACAATACTCCCTCTTTCCTTTAATATTAGTACTCTTTTTAGTACTTTGATCCTATTCATAGGATAGAGAGAGAATCCTTTTTCTTTTATCATTAATATAAGTTATCTAATTAAAATTATTATATGAAGGTATAAGTTGACCCCTAATTCACTATTTTGTAAGCCATTATTTTGTTAGAAAGTATATATATAGTAAACAAGTATAAAGTTGATAAAGGTAATAAGGTTAATTTAAAGTTTTTCATAATTTTGATGAAATAAGTTAGAAGTGTTTATAAATAGTATCAAAGGAGTGCCCATAATTTGTCAAATTTATAAAAATCAAGGAAGTTGTTTTGTCTAACTTTTTTTTCTTTTCTTTTTTGTCCTTTTACCCCTAGTTGAATGTACATACCAATGGTTAAATAATTTGTCAGGGATTGGGAAAAAATGATTGCTTAGGGGTATATTTAGAAAAGATTACTACAAAAAAGGACAAGCGCAGCGCTAAAGAAAACTTGGTCTTACCATAAAATAGACGAAATGGGTTGTGTAACTTAGTTGACCATTTCAGTTTGAAAGTGTAGAATTCTCAAATACTCTATCCAGTCTTAAATATAAGACCTATTTTGTATTGTAAATTACATTACAAAATGAGTCTTATATTTAAGATCGGAAGAGTAATATTTTATTATTAAATAAGTAGAATATATAGTTTATGAATTTTATGGATGATTTTTGTATAGAATTTCACACCCAAGGCTGGAGAATTCCTTCCCTTTGGAGCAGGAAGCAGACTGTGTCCTGGAAATGACCTTGCCAAGCTGGAAATCTCAGTCTTCCTTCACCATTTTCTTTTGAATTATCAGTGAGTTCTCATTCTCAGGTTTTGATTATTCCCTCTATTGGTCATCTTTACCTGCTTTTTCTTTCTGTATTTTTTATTGAAATTATTTTCTGCTTGTGTTTGTTCCTTCTTAAACTTGCAACCCCCACACTCTAATAATGGTAATAAGAGAAAACCTTCTTTTTTTATGCGTTATGATGAGTTAAAGTTTCGGAACTGAGTCCAAATTATGAGAAAAGTACAAATGATTAATTTTTGGGAGAATTGCAATAAAGTTCTAAGTAAGAATAAACATAATCATTAAAAAGTCTTAGGAGCTTACAATAACAAGTTTCAGAGTAATAAATGATAACTGCTCATTTGTCATTAGGATATTAGTAATTATTTTCTTTTCTTGAAATCTCATTGTAATTCTCCCATTTTTTCTTATTAATTAATTAATTGTTTTCTTTTTTTGGGCTATAGGCTTGAACAGCGAAACCCTAAATGTCCCGTGAGATACTTGCCTCATACAAGGCCAATGGACAATTGCTTGGCAAGAGTTAAGAAAGTTACAGCCTAGCTTGGGTGTCTTCTCTAAATGTGCTTCTTGTAATATAATTAAACTGCGTCTTTTTGAAGTTAATTGGTTGCTCTCTTCTTGTACCATAGTTGAGTGTGTTTTCTGTAATCCAACCAAAAAAAAAAAAAACCCATCGCCTTCGTATTCTTAAATAACATCTATCGTGGTGTGTGTGCATGTACACAAATCAACTTTAATTGTAATATTAACAGTATGGGGGGTGCCTCCCCCCCCCCCAAATGCTATTAAAATTTTAATGGCAGGACAGTCGATAGTTAAGATGCAAAACATTATGATCTTTAATTTAAATGTCTAAAAGTTAGGAATGTTACACGTAACTGGCCTACAATTCAGAGGTTTTGTACATTTTTAGCCTTAAGTTAATTATTTATGAAAATATATTGACTCTATTAAGGTTTTTTTTTTTTTTTTAATCATTTGTATTCGACGCTACGTACATATTTATCAGTGCGGTTAGCTAAATAATTCTTATATTGTGTACATATTTTACAACGTTTTATATATTATGTACACATGTTATAGCACTTCATATATAATCAAATATATATTCTTGTCTAAACAAAATAAAGAACTACATAACCACTTGTAAATAGAAAAGTTTCCACATTTACATCCGTAAGTGCTAAAACCAACATAGAAAAATAATCAGCCATATTTTTGTAATTAGATTAGAACTAAGTGAACTTATTGAATTTAATTATAATTCAAGTTGTGGTCACATTTGGGTACAAAGTCATCTTTACATCACTGTGCAAGCTTTCACATGCAAAAAAGAATTGTGCAAAGGACTGGGCTTTAATATCATGAAACACATCCGTAATTCTTTACTAAAGTCATCATTCACAACTTTTTTTTTTTAGACAAATTAAAGAGGTCTTTCTAATTTCGTCATATCATATCCAATTTATGTACCTTAAATTTATTCCATTACAAATAAGATACCTTTTTTATCTTAAAAATACTTTGCTGACTATTGTTTAAATATTTGATACAAAGACAACAATATAAGTTATTTCTTTTGAAAATTATTCATAACAAAATTTATCAAAAAAAATTAAAATAAATATCTGAAAATTATGAAAAATAATACAAGTTGAAAAATAATCGACAACAAAAGTTTTAACAAGCAGCTCATGACTTGCATAGCAAGTAATTAACTTTTTCATACCCAATATGATATATAGATTAATCCATAACGTAATCCAACTCTCAAAGCAACAATAATAATCAAAACAACCAATATAAACATCCCAAAACTGAAATCAAGTAACCCATTTGATATATAAATAGTTTCTATCATATAAAACAAAAACGATCCAAAAAAGGCTAGAGGAATAGGTTAGAGCATGCTCACGGCACAGAAGACGGTGAAAAACCTCAAAAACAAGCTCTTTCTACAACGAGATCAACCAACGGCGGCAAAACAGTCACAGAACAAGATGGGAACAATAGGTTTTGGTCAGAAATAGTGGGAGGAGGAAGTTTCGACGGTGGTGAGGATTGAGGAAGGACCACCGCGTTCTGTGAAAAAGTAAGAATTATAGCGTCAAATGGGTTAGGTTAAAATGACTTTAATATGCACGTTTGATTCATAAAACATATGAAGTGCAATGAAAAAGAACATTTGTTTAGTATGTCATCAAGTAATTGTGAAACTAAATTTACATTAATAAAAATAAATGCAAAATGATCGCTTTTCTTATATTAATTAGGAAAAAAATGGATGATATAATGAGGGTTGATATAATTTTTAGTCTTTAAAGTTTACTTTTATTTTGGTTTTAGGGTATGTTTGGATTGGCATTGAGCAAAACTAACTTCTAGCTTATCTGATTTTTGTAACTGAAGTTAGAGTAAAATTCAATCAGGATATATTTGGATAAGTGTTTTTAAAAAGTTAGTTGAAAAAGTTAAAAGTTGTTTAAATAATTAACAGAAAAGTTAGTTTAGTTATAAATGACTGAAAATGGCATGGACTTTATTGAATAGTAGTGTTTGAAATTTTATATTTTTAATGTGATAATAATTTAAAAACTATGTAAAATTATTATGATAAAATATAAATATTTTATTTGTGAAATTATAAAATAAAAATATTTATTATGAAGAAAAATTTGAAAACACATTGTAGATAATTAATTAAATATATATAATGGACAAACATGAATATAAATTAAAATTCATTTGGTCTGAATAAAAGCTTATTATGCTAATGAAGGAGATGAGGTAGAGGAAAAAATGTGATGGTAAATCTGGAATGCTTATTTTTAATAATCACCGTTTGAAACTACAGTTTGAAAAGTCTAATTTTTTTTCCGTTGAGTCCAATTGAGGTTGAAAGCCAGAAGTTGGTTGGAAAAGTTAGCCCAACCAAACAACAGTTTTTGTCCAATTTAGTTTGCAACCTCAGTTTCACATATTTCAAGGCACAACTACAGTTCCAAACTGCAATCCAAACATGCCCTTAGTTTCTCAAATTTCAAACTACAGGTTTTGGCCTTCAAGAGGCAAAATGATTCAAATTTTTATTGAATCATAGAAATCAATATTTAAAATAAAAAGAAACTCAAGGAATCAAAGTTTCTGGTTTGAAACTTGAAGAAGGAAAAACAAAATAAAAACAAACTTGAGAGACCAACAAATAATATTAACTCATATAATAAATATCTAAATGTTAATGTATGGAAGGTAAATATATCCATATGCTGATTCATATAAATTTGAATTCTAATTACAAATAATCAAAATTATGTAACGAGAATTACTTAATTTTTTGCAATACGTCATGAGTGCATTTATATTAACCATTTTACTATGCCAACCAAACACTTAAATCAACAGATTGTTACAAGCAGTCATTATACATGGAGTTAAACCGAATGTGCCCGTTTATATTTCTCATATTCGGGAATATTTATTGCATTGACAAGTAAATTTGGAGACATATTAATATTTAATATTTTTTAATAAAATCAAGAACAGAAACTAATCGGAATATTCTTTCATCAATCTACCACGTTCCAGTTCTCAATAAAAAATTAGGAGGGAGAAAAGCTTACACCAGCTTAAAGCCTAATGAATCAGCTCAAAAAAAAAGTTAAAGCCTAATGAAACTTCTTTTGACCTTTGTCGTCTCTGGCATGATCTACATTGTGTAGATCACCATTTGTATAAAAATAAAAAAAGATTTATAGGTGCCTTGTTGGAAGCACGTGGCACGCAGTAATAGTTTTGCTTTATTCTTATTAGTACACGTGTCACCTAAAGCAGCGGTGTCGCTTTAACGTCTTCTTGTTTGGAAAAAAGAACGACGAGCGGCATACCTTTACTTCTTGACGCAGAAAGCTCGTTGATTTTGTTTATTGTCTCCACAAAATCAAACAGTCTCACGTCAAATTCAAATTTTCCTCTTACCTCGGATTCAAAACTTCTTTTTCTCTCTTTGCTTCAATTATTGCTTGAAAATCGGAGTATAATGGTCTCTTCGGATACTGGTAGTGCTACCAGTAGAAATGGTGGTGAAAATCCGATTGAGAAGCTTCTGGGTTGGGGCTATTGGGTTCAGGGATTCAGGTGTTTCCCATGGCTCATAGTGAACTTCTTCCTCAAGGATGGACTCAATGTGGATCCTTCTACTCTTCAGGTCCTTCAGAATTCTGCGAATCTTCCTATGGTTGGAAAACCTATTTATGGCCTCGTTTCCGATGCTGTTTATATCTCCGGCCAGCATCGAGTGCCCTACATCGCCTTCGGAGGTAATTCATTTCGGATTTGATCCATAAAAGTTTTTTTTTTGGGGTAATTTTTTCGGTTGGATTGTTTGTAATTTGTTCTTGCTAAATGCGAAGTGGTTATGATTACTTAAATTTATTTATTTTGTTTAAGCATAAATGAAAATTCTTAGGTAGATGCCTTTGGTTTTTTTTGACTGAGACACCTTCCGAATGCGTTGGCTTTGGGTTGCTTTGGAGAGGCGTAAAGAAAAATAATATAAAGCGGATGCGAACTTCAGGAATCTATGCCTATCTTTTCTGCTTTTACTGATTCTTATTTGATCTCCGGTGGTAAAGTTTGCAGGTTTTCTGATAATAACTTCTGTCATACAATTCTGTTTGCCCTGTAATACCATCAAGTTAAATCTTATACGATGCAGATTTAACTTGAAAACTTTTGTGTGAATGATGGGTTAGATGATTTATATATTCATGATGCCTATGATTCAAGTCCCAACCCTATCCTCTGATGCTTCATATCGACAGTGTGTGGGCATAACACTATGTTGGGAAGCTTTCTTTAAGGGGAATGGAATGGAGTGGGTTTGCTTGGGGGCTTGGGCCATTCTTTGTGAGTGTTTGTTTTTTGGAGGATGAGTGGGATGGCAAGGAGGGGTCTTTCAAGCCATTCTTACCCATTTAAAACTTGAATTTTTTTGGTCCCCAAATTGGTGAGTCAAGGATGGAATGGCTGTGAGTAAAAATTTCAACTGCAAAATTATAAACATATTTATAAGGACACCCTTCTAGCTGATCCCTGCTCGTTATTTTCATTCTTCTGCCATATAGTGGGCTTATTCCTCTCATCTCGTCTCTCTTGCATCATCTTTCTAATCCATTACCATAGTTTTTTGGGCTAAATTATACAAAACCCCTGAACTTTGTCTTATGTCAATAATCTGCTTGAAAATTTGCAATAATTTCTCTAAACTTTTGCATTTATGTAGATAACCACAAACTATCGACTTTATATCTCCCTATTTTTGTATGCATATAACCCCCTCAAGCTTTTAGTTATGTGCATATAAATCCCTTAATCATTTGCACATAAATAATGAACAAAACTAATAGTATAGGAGTTATCTGCATAAATGTAAAAGTTCAGGGAGGTTTATTGTAAAGTTTCAAAAGTCAGGAAGGTTATATGCATAAAGTTCAAGGAGATTTTGTATAATGTAATCTCTCTTTTACTGGATAGGTGCTGTA